CAGAGGGGGAGGAGAACCTCCCTCGCCCTGCTGGCCACGCTCCTCTCAATGCACCCCAGGATGCCATTGGCCTTCTGGGCAACAAGGGCACCCTGCTGGCTCATGGTCAGCTTGCTGTCCACCAGGACTCCCAGGTCCCTCTCGGCAGTCCTCTTGCAGCCCACCTATTAACACCCCACCCCCCCGCCTGCAGTCCCGGTTTGAGGTCCATGTAACACCACCCCGTGCCCAAAGCACAACCCAGGAGCATGACGGGCAGAGCTGCTCTGCCTGGGGATGGTGGCACTCACCACGAACACCAGTTTGCCCACATTCGTCCAGGGGAAGTCGTAGAGCAGCTGCTTTTCTTCCTCCAGGTTCTGCAAGAAGAGGAGAGGTGGGCTCGGCTGAGGGTGCCCGCAGGGGCTGCCCATGCCTGCCGGCATCGGGACGGGAGCCGAGCCGTCGCCCTCGCTCAGCCACCTACCTGGAAGATCTGGATGCCCCGTGTCGTCAGCCCCAGTGTCAGCGAGGCCTCCACTTCCCTTTTGTCCTAAGGGGGAAAAAATGAGACAGTTTTAAATACATGGTTTGCAGCATCAAGTGGATAAATCTGCCCCCCCTCCCAGCCCAGGGGGGGATGCTCCTCTAACCACCCCATCTCCCAACAGCCGCAGGCGGTAGGTGCCACATGAACCATTTAGGTTGGAAAAGACCATTAAGATCATCAAGCCCAGCCGTTTAATTAACGACACACACACGCCGCCCTCCAACGCCCTCCCAGGCGCCTGCCACCCCCCTCACTGCCCAGAAAAAACCCAGTTTAAGAGTCTGGAAAAGCAGTTTAACCTCAGAAAACTTGGAAGGACCTTCAGAAACAGAGCTGGGGCGCTTTTACGCTTGAGCTCAAGCTGCACCGGCACCTGCGGCAGCATGGGTGGCCCCAGCCACGCACAGGGCCCCTGTCCCCCATGCACACCTCCCTGGGGGGCTGGAAACAAGGTTTGATTTTTTTTCCAGCCCTTTTTAACGGTGTGCCCCCTTGCCCTGCTCAGATGCAATCTGTGCTTGCCATTCCCTGTGCTCTCCCGAAGGCAAACTTCTCTTTAACTAAAGGATCCTACAAAAAAGGCTCTGGAAGGGGCTGCCCAGGGAAAGGGTCGAGTCCCCACCCCTGGGGGGATTTAAAAGCCGGGCAGCCAAGGTGCTTAGGGCCAGGGTTTAGTGGTGGGATGGCAGGGTTAGGGGAACGGTTGGGCTTGATGATCTTAAAGGTCTCTTCCAACCTAGATGATTCTATGATTCCATTCTATGAAATGGTTTGCGAAGCACCAGCTCCCCACAGACAAATTGCTTTGTTGCCAGGAGAAAAACCCAGCCTGTATGTCTCAGGGAGGGGATGCTGAAAAATAAGATGCCAGAAACCTCGTGGCTGCCTCCTTGCACCCCAGCAAAACCTCTCACCTCTCCGTAACTTGTAGAAAACAGCAGGACTATAAAAAGCTGCATCTCCCCGCCTTCGGGAGCGAAGCACTGCCCTCGAGACCGCGCTGCTCCAGCCAGCGAGTGCCGGTTCAAACTCAGCTCATCCCCAAATACCTTGGCGATTGCTGGGCAGTTGCTCCTTTCAATAAAAAGCAGCCCTGAATCCAAAGCCCAGCCCGGGTTGGTGGCCGGAGCTCACCTTGTACAGCCGGTAGTAGTGCACAGCCACATCGTCCAGCCGGACGGCCTCCTTGATGTACTTGAGATGGGCTTCAGAGGCCGTCAGGGCGAACTGGTCCTTGTGCATGTTTGGGACGTGCTTCAGGATGTAATCCTTGCCCCTCTTCGCAACCACCTGTGTGGAGGAGAAAAGCTCATCCAGGGGAGCCACTCCGTGCTCGCTCGGGGCTGCCCCCCAGCCCCGGCGCTCCTGGGCAGCGGTGATTTCTAGGGAAAAGGGAAATCGGAGCAACACGCTCCGTTATAGAGCCCTGCAAGCAAAAATAAAACTGATACAGCAGGTAACAACTCCTCGCCAGCAGGATTTCCCCCTGGGAAGTGCACATTCGCTCCATGTGCCCGTCCCATGGAGCTCACACCACCGGTGACACCCGTGCGGGGGCAGAGAGAGCTGGGGACACGGCCCCGGGTGCCATTGCTCTTCAGCGGCAAAAAAAGGAGAAGCTTTTGGGGCAGATTTGGGGGCAAAACCAAGGAAGCACATAAAGTGGGCAGTGGTACCTAGAACTTTTGTTAATTGTCCCCTCGCCAGCATCCGCCGGCAGCCCTGGCTGCAGGGAACCATGGGGGAGGTTCAGCTTGGGCTCCAGGGGCACATCCCACACGGCTGCACAGCCCCTCGCTGCTCCTCTCTAATATTTGCCTGTCTGGTAATAAGC